GTCCACCGTGACACCTGCATCCAGGCCTTTTGTGACCTGGTCATAGAAGGCCACCAGGTTGGTCTGACAGGACCTGCCTCTAATGAACCCATGTTGGTTGCCTCTAAGCATAATCTCCCCTGCTGTTCCCCCCCAGATGTGCTCCTGGATAATTTTCTCAAAGAGCTTCCCCAGGGCCAAGGTAAGACTAATGGGCCTATAATTTCCTGGGTCCTCTTTCCTCCCTTTTTTGAAGATGGGAACCACATTGGCCCTTTTCCAGTCCTCTGGCACCTTGCCAGAGCACCATGAGTGCTCGTAAAGCTGTGCCAGGGGTCCCGCAGTGACCTCTGCCAGTTCCCTCAGCACCCTGGGGTGGAGATAGTCAGGACCTGCTGATTTGAACACATCTAGTCCCTCCAGAAGTTCTCTGACTAGATCCTCACTGACCCTGGGCCTGGCTGTGCCTCCCCTGGGTCCGTCTGGATTCCCAGTGGGGGGGATATCTCTGTCCCTGCTCAGAAAAATGAAAGAAAAGAATCTGTTAAAGAGATCAGCTTTGTTGCCTGGTGCTACCACCAGATTACCAAGCATGTTCTGCAGAGGCCCCACGTTACTTGGTACCTTCTTTTTACCCCCTATGTATTTAAAAAGGACTTCTTGCTAGCTTTGATCCACGTTGCTAGTCCCAGTTCCATCTCCATCTTAGCCTTCCTAACAGCCCCCCTACAATCTCGAGCAATGGCGGTATACTCCTCCTTGGTGAGGGCCCCTCCCTCACCAAGTTATTTACTTGGCAATCTGCTGCAAACGAAGTGTGCTGCTTATATCCTTGGGAACTCTTTGTAAGAAGTTTCAGTATCATATAGTGACTGTGTCATCAATAAAACCAAAATGATTTTCTCTGAGCTTCACTCCCTCCCTTGCTATAGATCACAATTCCCATTTGGTCAAAGAAAAGGAACACTGCAACAGAAGTCCATTACAGCCTCAGCCCAGATCTGCCAGGCTTCCATACCATCTACCAGTGAATGCAATGATCTCAACCAGAAACATTAGTTAGACATACTTTTTGCACTTAAAGTGGCTGTTAATGCACAGTTATTTTCAAGTGGTCAAATTTAATTTAATCCTTTTCTACTACTAGAGACCTGCCCCGTGGAAGAAAATCCATTTCTTAGAAAGTAAAATAGTAACATATCTGATGTCTTTAATGGAAAAATTAGTTCTTCAGATGTCAAAGAACAAGTTACTAAAGAACACACCCTTCAGCACTTTTTGTACTAATTGAGATTTCTTTAGTTCCCTAGCTTCAGGATATAGCTATGGTTAACTCTCTATCCCCAGTAGGAACAGAATACTTCACTGGATTTTAAAATGTGACAAACACAGTATTAATGAGTTATCATATATCTCCAGTTACATGGTCAAGTATATTATAAAAGGGAAATCACTATTTTAATTATTCAGAGTTGTTTTTTCTCACATACTTTGGTTCATTTATATTCAGAACTTTTCCTTCTGTGGTGATCAAAGTCCTAGGTGGCTTTTCTTTCTTCTTGTGTCCCCTAAAAGAAAAAGAAAGAAAGAAAAGAAAGGATTTCTTCCCATTGTTTACATTTTGATTCTTTTTGTGAAGCTGAGAAAAAAATGACATATATTTGCACAAGGTGAACATCTTATTTTAAGAAGGAAAGTTATTTTGTTAACATCACAGGTTATGCATTGCATCTTTTGCACTGGAAAAGCATGATTACTATCACCTGCATAAAAGTGAGCAAATTATTCATGATAAGGACTCTGTTCATTGGCTCTTATTCTCTTTTTCTTTTCCCAGAAAATACAAGAGCAAATTGCAACTTCTTAAAATGTATCTGATAAATCTATTTATTAATTAATTGATCTCTAATATTTTAAGTGGGAAGCATGTTGCTAGTGGTAACTGGTCACATAAATTAGGTATTGTCATTAGTGTTACATGGTTGGATGAATGCATAAGTATTTTTGCAGCAAATATTTGTTCAAGTTCATTTAAAATGTATCTTCAAATATTTTGGCATGAAGTTCTGAAATTTATTCAGAAAATTTTTCAAAAGCAACATTTTGCAGTAAGCGCCACAAAAGGGAGGATGCATGGCCAAAGTGAATACTAGTAAACTTTTAACAAATTATTTTGATTTATTTATTTGCTGAATTTTGCTTTACTCCTCCAAGAGCTGTCATATGCTTTACTAATAAAATTAGGCTTTTAGACACCTTTCCACACTAAATTATCAGCAATGAAACTGCAGGGCACCTTTAGATAAGTGCAATATACAAATCCCCTTGGTGTTTTAGGCCACATCAACATAATCTAGAAGTACCCAGATATCTAGAATTATTAGTGTGCTTGATGGTAGTGTCAGAGTGATGCTGTAGCTGTGATGGTCCAGGAAATATGCAAGAGGCAGGGATTCTTGTGGGTGGTATCTTTTAATTGGACCAACTACATAGCTGGGATAGACTTCTCCAGGTGACCTGAAGTAGAATGCATGGCATTCAAAAGTCTATTACAACCATATAATTGAGCTGATAAAAGGTATCATTCACAAAAATCCTTGTCTCTCAGTTTTCTTGATGACATATTTTTGTTGTGTTCAGCTAGAAATTTTAGTAATATTAGGCGGAAAGGATTTGCATTTTTCTCATGGGAAAAAAATGTCTAATTCTAGGCGTTCTTAAAATGCATTAGGTTGACATTGTCCTTGGAGGCTTTTAAGACCCAGCTCTACAAAGCCTTAGCTGGGAGATTTAGTTGGGGATGGTCCTGCCTTTGAGCAGGGGGGTGGACTAGATGACCTCCCAAGTCTCTTCCAACCATAATTTTCTGCGATTCTGTGACACTGGGATTGGAAGGACACATGGATGGATATTAGAGTTGCTATTGGAATGATCAGATGATAACAATTTATGCTGGCATCACACCTTTCACCCAGAACAAAAGAATGTGTAATTACAGATTTAGATGTTAGAGATGAATTGGATTTGTTTATGGGGACCTGTAGTGGACTCTGGTGGGGGGTCTGCATGTAGCAGCTGATGTTCCTAGCTATCAAACTCGCCTGCTGCAGTTTTCAGCCTCACTAACCTCCTGTCTCTATCCTGCCATGCCTTGGGGGGAATAAGATAACCTTGAAAAGCTGATTCTACAGGCCAGAATAACTACTTTAGTGCCTTCTCTCTTGGCCCAGTCCCTGGGGCTTCTCCATCCCCAGGCTCAGTCCCCAGGGCTTCTCTCTAGCACAGGCAACCCCCGCTTAGTGCTCTTAATTAGTTCTGGAAAAACCGAGTGCTAAGCGAAACAGTGTTAAGTGAAACCCATTTCCCCATAGGATTTAATGTGTCTCTCTGCCCTTCTCTAGAGTGTGCTTCTTCTTCAACAGAGTCCTTAGGGCTCCTCTGCTTTATCAACACCATTTGCAGTTCTACAGACCCTAAACCTGACCTTTTAGCCCTCCATGTCCCTTAGGGACTATAATCATGGCCTCCAGTAGCCCCCATAGCAACATCCATGCCTCACAGGTCTTACCCTCTTTCCTTCCCCCGGCCCTCTGGCAGTATATTGGGTTCAGTCCACTGAGTCCTTGACTCTTGCAGGGCTGCTGTATCTAATCTCCAAGTTCTTAGCTTGGCCCCATACAACCTACCAGGTCCCAGACCTTTGCACAACTCTACCCTGGCCTCAGCCCTTTATAATGTGGAGTACTTCCCAAGCACTCCATCCATGGGCTCAATCTGCCCCTATAGCCACACCTGAACCTCCGGTCAAAACAGAAACTGAAATACAAACAAACTGCTTCAGAATACAACTCAAACCCTACTTCAAATGTCTGTATTGCTGCAAACCCACCCCTTACCAACTGATTGTTCTCCAGCCTCCAGGGCACTCTCTTGGTCTTACGCCTCTCTTTTTGCAGCCTGTGTTTTCAGAAATTCCTTTTTCTGCAAAGATCAGGGCCAGACTGCCTGCTCTGGCTCCAGAACCAGTTTATCCACCCTTTGCCCCACCTCTTCTGGTCAGGTACCTCCCTGAACAACTGTAGATGTGTCTTCCCAGCTCAATGGACAGCCAGCCCTCATCTGCTGCCATCTAAGAGCTTGCATATTCCAAGGGTTGCTTTGAGTTTAAAAGGGGTGTACCTTGAGTCTAAAAAGGCTGAGAACCACTGTAACACCTGTAAGGCTAGCATGAGCCTTAAGAGACCTGTAATTGGGTGAATCTATATTCAGACGCCTAAAAGTAGATAACTTCTAGAACTTGAGTCCCCAAAAATCCCTTTCAAGTTAATAGGAGCTGCATCTCTTCGGAACATTAAAAAAACTGGGACATTTCATATTTAGGCACCTACACAGGAATTCAGCTCTGAGTACCCAGATATGAAAATTTTGATCTGCTGCTAAACAAAATCTAGTGAAATATCTGGCTAGATTACTATCAGTCTGGAGTTCCAGTGGCATTCAAAATCCTTGAAGACTTTACGGGAATAATGTATCTTAAGACATAGTCTCCTAACGAAAGAGCATATGTAATATGCAGGTTTTTGTTACTCAAGGACAAGCTTCCTTGATGAAATGCATGTAGAGTATAGCAAGTTATACAGACAAGTGCTGCTTCTGCAAAAAATTCATAGAATAGCCTTGGGGGCATTTGTGTAATGTCACATACCCTCATGGTAAATGCTTTTAACAGTACAAATATGCATTCAACTGCAACAAACGTATTAAATGAGAGGTCAATGAACCTTTTAAAATATACAAAATGGGGTTGAATAAAGAAGAAAACAATTATATTTTCAAAAAATCTATTTTGAGAGAAGCAGAGTAAAAGGTATTCTTAGGCATCCAAAGAAAGAAAGCAAAGTGCACTATTCATAAGAGTGTTTGGTTAGATTTTTACAAAAATGTTTTCAAAGGAACAAATGGGAATTATGTACCTCCTTCTCACTGACTTACACTGTGGGGGAAAGGTGCCTAACTCATCTTTATGCCTTTAAAAATTTCCCCCTTAAATCAATGTAAAGAATATGTAAAACCCAACAGATACCTTAGATCTTCTTTAGCTCTACGTTTTTCTTCAATATATCTGTGAGTTTCTAATCTTGACTCTGGAGTATATGGTGTGGGCTCTTCCCAAAATGCTCTGTCCTCTTCATTGTCTTCATCTGCTCCCCAGTGCTGATACTCATTTTCTTCTTCTGTGTGCTGCTGGTTTTCTTTGTCCTGTAGAGGGTCTGGCCTAGAAAAGATTACATATAGTGGCATGTCATGAAACAGGGAAAGAGTAGCAGTGATGGATTACTGCAATAAAACTGTCTTCAAGTCACTTTATATAGTTATATAATTAATTGCCACAGTTGGGCTACCTGAGAGACGTAAGTAGCTTACCTTACTCTTTTCTTAATGTTTTATTTACATTTCTTGTTTATATTTGAAGTTGGTGGACTCCCAAAACTGCTGTACTTGATCCAATTTTGTCATTTTGATTTTTTAAAGTCTAGCCATAAATTAGTTAAGTCATGGCAAATTTATGGCAGACCAACATGACATTCCTGATTGCCTAATCTAGCTTTAATCTTACAACATTAGATCTTCAGATTCTCTTCAAATCTTCTGCCCAGATACTGGGTAAATTAAATTCATGGCTGACAGCTCTAAGCACTCTATTTTGCATTAGTAATTAATTGGTTGCAGTTTATTTACTGATTTCTTGGACTAGAATCAATGACAGCCTGAATCAAATCAATCTTCTAATACTAATCCATCAGATATAAATTTGGGTGACATTGTAACAAAGATGACGTTGGAGAAAATCAAGTACTAATACAGAGTAGCTCAAAGGACAGAAAGAGTGCTGGGAATGTCTGTTAGTTATGTAAATTCTAAGCCAAAATGTGTCTCTTTAGGTCGAGCAAGTAGTGGTCAGTCACAAACCACCATTGAGTGACCTCATAAAACCTGGGGAGCAGACACAGACTACTAATGTTAGGTGAGGAGCAACACCTCAGTCTTTGAACTTTGGGATGGAATCCAGAACCAAAAGGGAAGTGCCTAAATTTTCATGGTGGGAGCAAAGTTCCCCAGAACAGCATCCAAAATAGCCAGTTTATTACATTGCAAGCTGCTTAGTCAGCTAGACAATGGAGACATACTAAGGATACGCTCTTAACAGGCAAAATTTAAGAACATTCTCAGGGCTGCACAGAGGGATCTCCATCCATTTGGAGTATACAGCTCGGAGCTGTTTCTTGAGGAGCGGCACCGAGAGCCTTTCTTGGAATCAAATGAGCATGGATCACTCTTCTCAGGAAGGGAGATCTGATGCCCCACTTCTACTAGACGACAAAACAGTCTAGTTCAGTGGTCAGCAGTCTAGGGTCTGCAGGCAAGCACTGGCCCACGAAAGACTTTAGCAGCCCTCCAAGCATATCTGCAGGAGAATGTGTCATCTAGTGCAGTGTTTCTCAACCTGTTGGTTGTGATCCAAAATTGGATCACAGGAATATATGAAAGGGTTGTGAACAAACTTAAAAAGAGGATCAATAAACTTTAAAAATGGACTCTCCTTTAAAGATGAAAAACATGGGAAACCATGGCTCTTCTCTTGCAGGCTGGCAGAGTTCAAACCTGCAAAGGGCTGCCTGGGCCCGTCCCCCCACCCCACACCCAGCCCCTGCCCCACATACTGGAGAGCTGGGGCCTGGGGGTGGGGGGAAGCAGGTCAGGAATGAGGGGCACTGGGTCCAGACTGGCAATTGATGTTAACAAATGGGTCCCGGTAAAAAAGAGACTGAGAACCTCTGATCTAGTGATTCCTTCCATTGATAGCCACTTCCAGCCTGCTGCCCCTGGCATAAAGAAGACCAAGCTGTGTTAATTCAGTCAATTGTTATCAAAAAGTTGATGACCCTTGGTCTAGTTAGTGGAGCACTTGCCCAGAACATGAGAGACAAGTTCAGTTCTCTTCTTTGTCTAAGCTAAAGTGAAGCAAACCCACATTTCCCATCTCCAAGGAGAGTATCCTAACAGTTAAGCTCCTGCTTTAACCATTAGCTATTACCTAAAAGGGAGATACCACCACCACTTTTTCCTGTGTCTGTGTTTTCAAGGACAGTGGTGGTTGCCCCTGAATTTTATAGATTCCAATCCTGTGGTTGTGCGTTATGTGCTCTGGGAACAACTGGATTAAGCCCCAAGGACTTGGGCAGAGGAATGCCTAGTCTCTGGACTAGATAGGAGCATATCCAGAGGCAGAATTTCAGGAACCTAAAGGATTGTCAAAACTGCACTGCTATGAAGTTTAGACAGCTTCAGGATTAGACAGCAGCTGCATGGAGGTTGTCACAATCATAGCTTTGCACATAGGCATTAGGGATGTGCAAAGTGGGCCCTATTTGATTTGGATTCAACCTAAATCAGGGACAGTGATTTGATTAGTTGATTTGGATCAATGCCCCTGATTCGATTCTGCCGAATCCAAATCTGAAGATTTGATGGTGATTTGGACATAGACACAGCTTTAAATTTTTTTCTAGATCCCTCAAGGTACCAGGCAAGGCTCATGTATGCTGCAATGTTGGGGCGCACGGAGCATCCCACAAGAGTGTGGGGGGGGCCTTCCATGTGCTCGGCAGCAAACCCGAAAGCAGACTGAAAGTACTACTGGTCCACTTCCAGGTCTGCCAGAAAGCACGCTGGGGGGGCTCCCCTGAGCCCCACCCCCGCTTGGCGATCAGCCACAGGGGGACCTTGGGTGCTCCCCCCAGACCTAGGAGGCACCAGTCACTGAGCCCGGTGGGGGTAGGTGGGGGGCGCTGCGTGCTTCCCGGCAGACCCAGAATTAGACCGGAAGTGCTTCTGGATGACTTCCGGATCTGCTGCCAAGCACGCCGGGAAGCCCTCCGCGCTTCTGTGGGAGGGCTTCCATGCACCCCAGCATCGCAGCACTCACGAGCCCCTGGTACATAGAGGTATGTAGAAAAAACATTTACAGCTGTCTCTATGTCCAAATCTCCAAATCTTTCTGAATCTCTCAGAATCAATTTGGAGGGTTCTGATTCGATTCAGAGAGATTAAAGGGTCCTCTGATTCAATCTGAATTCAGAGATTCGGCCACCGAATTGAGCCGAATCAAATAAGGGACTGAAGCTTTGCACAGGCCTAATAGACATCTGAATTCTACATTAAGTCCCATGTGAAGCATCTGAGGCCTTTTTTTAAGAACTGACCCTAAGTCGTTATACTCTAAAAGAATTATGGCCGTGTAAGAGGTGAACACTGAAGTTTTGATTTGATTGCAACTTATGAGCCTGAAGTTACCCAGTGCTGTCTCCATGGGACTTGGACCCAACGTTACTGTTCAGAACCAAAATGAATGGCAACTAAACTGGAAATATCCATTTATGAAATGCTCTCGTTCTAAAGAAGCTTTCCATCCCGTTGATGGAAACAATATAGAAAGAGCTTTCTAATGCTATCACAAACTGAAATAGAAATTCAATGGGGGATTTCAAAATGTTGCTCTCCAGTTTTCATGTCCATGTATGAAGAGAATAGATTACTGGAAGTAAGATCAGTAGTGAAGATAAATCTATGTGATTTTAAAAGGGGCATATAAAAATGTGTCAAGTAATTGATATATCTAGAGAAAAAATCCTAATAATCTAAGAGGAAAGAAGTGGACAGTTGTTAGCTCACATACATGGTGTTGTTAATGTCTGTGTACCAGCATCTATCAAATCCAGGGTTAGGTTCGTCTTTTTTTTTCTTCTGCTTCTCTTGTATTTTTTGTGCAACCTCTTCTTTTTCTCTGGCCCTTTTGAGGCAGTAAGCCTGTTCCTGCTCTCTGATTTTCTTCTTTATTTCGGCATAGTTCTGCAATGCCTGGATCCTTTCAGAACGTTCTATTTCTTTACTGTCCAGGTACTTCCCAAAAGAGCAAAAAACAAATTAAAGACGACAAATTTGGCAAAATAACCAGAAATTTTACACACAAATAAAAAGCCACTTAGCACAAGGTTAGTTTTTATTAGATCATCTTTACTAGAAAGTTTAAAATTTGAGACTTTCAATTGCCCCTTACCATTGTGTAGTTTACATACATTAGCGATTGCGCCCAAAAGCTTGCTAAGAACTTTTTTCCAGCTACTCAGTTGGTCTAATAAAAGATATCACATCTACCCAAAGAACCTTACCTGAAAATACCACACACACTTCTGTAGAGGCTATTATAGCTGACAGAGGCAGACAGCTTGTTTTTTTGAGGGCTTGAAGCTGCATTTTAAATCGAGTCAATTCTGTAACAACCAAATCTCTTACAGCTGAATTATCACCAAAGAGACAGAAAAGGAACTCAAGTTTTGCATTCTACTGTATTTAAACCTGGATGTGGGTAGGTTCATCCTTCTATACCTAAACTGGGATTTAAGTAGACCACGGACCAAGAGAAGTTCTCTAGTATAATATATTTTTCTGAATAAACTCATTAGTTTATATATGAGTTACAATGAGTACCCCCCTTTAAATTGGTGCTTGAGGTTACATAGATCTGCCTCTATTTAAATTGTCACATAAAGGAGCGTACCCAAAAAACGCATGTTGTTTCTTACAAGTACTCAGTTTACATGTGTGATATATCTAAAGCCCTTTTACAGTTAAATCCAGGAATATCACCCTCTTTTTATCACCTTCTACCTGTTACCACTATTTTTATCTTTAAAAGCTGACTTGCATGCAGAATAATGCAAAAAATATTGTCACAAAATGTTTATTTCCAACAACTTAAGTGATCTCTCCTGAGCAAATTTACCACTTAATGTCACAACTCTTGAAGGATGTTCCAAAATCCAATCAGGTATCAGACAACTACTGGCAAAGGAATCTGCCTTGTTAAAGAAATATACATAACAATTCATGACAAGAAAAAATTATATGGTTCTGTTTTGTTGCGAGAGAGACTCATCAAGCACCTGGGAATTTGAGGTACTATCACAGTCTGAGTGAGGCTTGCCTTGGGCTTAAGTGTCACGTGTATAGTGTATCTTGTAGTTACATCATGGAGGGTACGTGAGATCTTTCCACATAGTTGAGTACGTGCTTGAGAAACTCTTGAAAAAGGAGACCAAATACAGGAACAAATTAATACAAGGGTCAGAGAGTGGGTGCAGTGCAGGTGTGGTGCCCCTGACGGAGGTGGGCTACGGAGCCTTCAGCTCTCCTATCTTTTTATGCAGCAATAGACTCCTCTCCATTCAGTCAGTTAGTAAATGGCTTTTAACACAGCAGAACTGTTATGGTTTTTGCTTCATTTCTTACATTAGATAGTAAAAGTAAGAGTTGGACATTATGTAAGTTCACAAAAATACACAAGGAGCAGGGTATGAATCCTAGTCCCTTCAATTTAGAGCAGTGGCACTACCCTTTGTGAAGCTATGAAAACAAGAAAGCATCATGTGGTGTGTGGCTCTGATTATTGTCAACTCTTAATATTACAGGCTTTTGTCAGTCTCATGTATGATATTACACTATCAGGGTTTGACTGTCTGCAAATTATAGTCTACTGACTTCAGCAGGTTTTTGCAATTGATTAAAGTCACTAGTATTATTAATCCAGCACCTTTTACTTTCATAACATTCACTTAGAAATCTCCTATGGATTATAGAAAGGTAGTAGCCCTACTGCACATTTATCCTCCTCATAGTTAAAATGCTCTAAAAGAAAGAATCAGGACTTGGCTCAAAAATCTCCAGTAAAAACAATGTAAAAGTTAACAAATATATTATGGTTGAGACACACCGCAACTCCATTATTAATCATGATTGGTTCTCCTTCAGAGTAGAATTTAATTTCCTATAGACAAGGAGTAAGGCTTTACCACAACCATTATTTTTGTTTTGCATCAGTATATTCAGTCATCGGTGAAGATAAATTGACATGAGTTTAAAAGGTGCAGGTAAAAATATACCTAGTAATTGATAGTCTCTTATCAAAGAGGCTTGCCATACTTCTAGCAACTCAGCTGGATACAAGCACATTAAAAAAAACCCATACTTTTAGCTGAGGAAGAGTTGCTACCACAAACTGTCTGTATCCTTCAAACTCAGTGCACGGGTTCCCCATCAGAAAGAGCTCAGGTCTGAAGACCCCTGTCTTTGGCTGTGCTTGGCTCCCATCCACAACACACGATCCCTAGCTCTAAAGGCCATGGCTGTTGAGGGGCGGGGGCA